TTAACAACAAATTTAATTCCGGTCGTTTTTGCTTATAATTGTTTCGAAAAAATTTTATTGTAATTTGTGAAAGGGACCATCAATATGAAGGTATTTTATTTATTGTACTAAATGAAATGTTTTTATATAATATCTCTGTGATTGGTGTATATTTTAATTGTAATTAATTTTATAAAGCAATATCTATATGAGATATTATATCTACTACAATTTGCAACTATATTACAGAAACAATATGTATGGTTACAACAAATGAACTTTCGATATCTGAATTTCTCAAGATCTGACGAACATTCATTTTTATGGAATACTACAGTGTGATCCGGATATATTACATGCGATCAAATTCTTTGTTTTCTTCGACTCAACGAATTATTTTTGTATTAAAACATTGAGAATGACCCGATCGAGGTTGAAACGTATGATATCATATATATATTTTTACATTTCCTTTATTATTCTGTTTTTACTTGTTGCGACTAATTATATGCTTAACTTGCGTTAATATATTTATATTTTTGCCATTACCAACGTTATATTTTAATTTTTGGCTCGTAGCCCTTTAATGTGACAGTAATTTTTTAATTTAATTTGTCGCTAAAATGAGACGATAGAAATTATTAAGAATAAATCTTTCTTTAAGTAAAAGTTCTTACACGGAAAGTACAATTTTGTTGAAATATTAAAGAATTTAGTTAGATGCAAATTTGAAAATAATTTTATCGGGACCATCAAAGTAATTAAATATATAGTAAACTCAAGCATGATTAGCACAATGCTGTGAAATATTTCAATATTCCAGAAATCAGCTTAAGCCTTCTATAATTATTTTGACAATCTAACGAAATTATTTTTAAATTTTGTATCTAACAAAATTTTTAGATGTTTTAACAAATCACTTTTTCCCTCTGTAAAATATAGGATATTTTACTTACATGGTCCAGAATGCTCCTGATTAAACCATTCCAAGTCCTCTTTTCTGGATTATAACTGCCATATCCATCAGTTACGAGTTGGAATATTACGCCTTTAAAATCTAGATATTCTGCAATTGCATTAACCAGATCGATGCAATAACCTTCATAGCGTTTTTGATCAATTAATACTCCTCGCGTTGAACCATCGATCACTTCCATAATGTAGGGTGCATTCTGAATCGGAGGAAGTTATTACATATTTCATATCTCCAAAAATATTTGTATACTTAATGAATTATGACTATAATAAATAAAAAACAGAGCTAAGAGAGAAGTTACTTGTAGAATAATTATATGTAACTTCATTGATTCATTCACTATTACGTATATCACTAATGGTATTATTAGTGATATACGACATTTCTATTTTTGTGCCAACTAAGAGAAATCATATATTGAAGCATTAAAGTAATATTATTAAATACAATATCGTTTTCCGTTCAATTTGTTCTTTTTTATACTTATTATATACTAAATATCTTTCTCAAACTATACATATATGTAATTTTAAAACTCTTGTAGTTTATGAATTACAAAATAAATTTACAAGATATAATTCTATTATTTAATGGCTAACAACACATAATCTTAATGTTAAGACTATAATTAACGTTGCTTAGCTGGCTCCCCACTTAACCAAATCTTAATGAATAAATTATTTAATAGTGCGCTATTTATGCGCTCTCAAAATTAGCAAAAAAATTTTTGCGCTCATTTAGCTAAAAAAAATTGCTTTGTAGGAAAAGCTGAATGGGCTGTCAGTCAGTCCCCATGTGTTAATAACAACAGATTAAAAAAATTAAATACACAGGATTTATGAGCTACTTATGCTTCTATATTTACATAGTTCCAATTTTTGCGCTGCATTCCTTAAGGCATTTCCCTCTTGGAGCAAACAGTCATATTCATCCCTAAGTTGTTTCAAAATTGCAAAATTACACTATCTAATTATACAACATACATCTTCGATTTATACGCTACTATTTCCAAGCAAATTCGATTTTTACACTACTACTCTATTTTACACTACTATAAGGGACTTCCCTCTTGGAGCAAACAGTAGTATTCATATCTAAGTTAATAAAAATTGTGAAAATATATATGCTTTAATTGTGCAAAGTATATTTTTTTTATGCGCTATGAATACTAAGCAATTGTGTTTCTATTTAAAAATCAGAGATAATAATGTAAAAGGGTTTTGGAGAAAGTAAAGGTCAAAGATACAATAAATCGGTAAATATAATAAATAGGATTAGTAATATTTTTGTTCTATTTGTTAACTCTTTTCTGTTTTACATACGGAAAGAATTTTTTTTTAGAATTTATTTTGAAAATATGATAGTCGTGGAACAACATTTTATTTCGAAGAATTTTAATGTAAATCTCTCTCATTCTTTAATAAAACTACAATAAAGTATAAAATAAGTTTGATTAATTTTACTGAAGTGCTAAAAATCTTTAAAATATTGTATTGTACCATAACTATCATATTTTCAGGGTAAATAAAAAAAATTCTCTCTATGCATAATTAGATAGTGTAATTTTGCAATTTTAAACGACTTAGGGATGAATATGTCTGTTTGCTCCAACAAGAGTGAAGTCCTGAAGAGATGCAGCGCAAAAAATGAAACTACGTGAATATGAAAGCGCATAAATAGCGCATTATTATATAATTTATTCATTATGATTTGGTTAAGTAAGAGGATCAGTTAGGCAGACATCTATAATTAATATGTCAAATAGTACTACGAACTTTGTGTACACTAATCTTGAATATCTTCTCTTCCATGAATCTTCTGTATATATAGATATCTTCCTCCTTCTTAATCTGTTTGACACCATTAAATGTATTCCAATAACCGGTTTGTATCATACCCAGTTGTCGAAAATTCAAGATTTTTACATTAAAATCTCGTCTACGACCATATTCATCAATGTACATAATGCCTGTTATCTTTCCTCTCTTTGATATCTGTATAAGACAAAATTTCGTACGTTGAAAGTAAAAATTTATTTTCTTCCGTTAAAAATAAATAATGAAGATTTGATATTAATTTTTCAATATTTTTTCGTGAATGTTCATTATTTGAATACAGTTGTGTTTAAGTAATGAACGTTGGCGCCGTTATTATGTCACATTTAATAGATTTCATGTGGCATTAAATTAACTTTGACGAGTTAATTTTTTTATGTAAGTGTATATAAAAATGTAAGAAAGTCGTTATTAATTAAATTACTTTTTTCATAATATGTTTTACGGCTTAAAGCCAAATTGTCATTTTTTTAATATATAAGAAATGATAAAGAAAGACTCCTTCTTACCTCTCGCATAACGCTAATAATATTAGGTCCTACTTGATACTTTCTAGTACTATTAGTACAAGAAAGTGGTATAGGATCAATGGACATATCTACTTCATTTTCAATATTTCTTGTATTTAGAGTCTCTAATGCTGTATGCAACAAAAATACTGCGTCATAGAGGACCGCTGAATCTAGCTATATCAAAATCGCAAATTAGTTCAAGTAGTTAATTTAATTTTATATAATTTTTTATTTTGAATTTTTAATATAAAATATCTGTGTCATATAACTCAATCTGAAATGTGAAAACGTTAAATGGACGTTGATCTGTCTGTTAGAATAAATAAATACTTTCTTTTCTTAAGTGCTTGCGCAACAAAAAATTGCAAAAATATTTTAGTCTTTCGTGAATATTTACTCATTGATATCTATAATAAGTAATAATCTTTTTTTGTTATAATTTTTTACTATCAAATGGCACTGACTGTTTGCAATTATTGGAGCGATTTGTTCGCACTCATTAATTTACTTGGTGTAGATCTGACTTAACGCGAGTTCTTAAGAATTGTACATATAAATGCAATAAGAGAATATAAACTTTTGAGATTATATTATAATATATTATATATATATGCTTATTGCTGATAATTAAGGGGGATTATTGAATAAATACCGAATCAATTCCTTCTATGTCATCATTCTCTCTTATGCTCAGTCCAGTGATATTAAAAGTATCTTTTAGCATCTCGATAATAGGTAGCATGGATGAATCCTATGATTTAATGGAATAATTATTTCAAAAACTATTTGTTTTCTAGCAATCGGAGATGCACAAGAATAACATATAACATTATGTTTTACCTATTCTATTTAATTTTCCTTAAATGTAATTTTTAAAAGTTTAACTAATCATTTTTTTTAATCATCAATTTGGCCCTATAATACGTGAAATACGCTTTTGAAAGTATCATGTTGTTATTTTTATAGTATATTTAATATACAGTACCAAATATGTAATTACGATGTCGAAATAATCTGCTAGTAAACTGACTTCCTTTGCCTGATAGAGCACTTCCATGATATTTTCCGGCTTAACATCGATAATTATATTGCGCACTGACAAATAGCGTATCTGTTTAAGCATTGAGTGATAATCCGGCCCTTTGTCAAGCTTCCATGCTGTATGTATAATCGGACCTTCCTTGTTTCTGTTTAGAATCAAAGTTTTCTGAAGACGTGACAGTCCTTCATCAGTTTCGTAAATCGCTGCGAATTTTCGCCAGTTTATTGAATCAATGACATCGGCGATAGCCTGTACAGTTTTGTTGATCAAAAATATATTACAAATATAGTAATTGTATTTCGAATGTGCAACATGTTATAAAAACCACGATTTAACTTGCATCTTAGCATAGCAGATTATCTTTGATTCTATTGAGTAATTATTCCGTTTAATTAATTAACTAAATATGCATCTAAAAATCACCATAAAAATAAATTGAATTATTACTTACCTTGTTAAACATGTCCAAGTTATCATAGTGTACATATCTACTATTTAGCTGCGAAATGATTCTTTTAAATTGCGACTAACCTGGCTGACTTGTTCACTGGCAGGGAATATGTTTATAGTCATTAATGATGAAGCCTTCTTTTGGTTTTTCTTTCCTTCGCTTCCTCGCCAAACATACTCTATATGGGGAATATCAAATCTCGCTGTAATGCTCGCAACTATGCCACTAGTATACCGACTTGAAGGCCCGAAAATGGCTGCCACACCTTCTTCAAGAAGTTCACAAGCTATGTAGAAAATAATACAATGTTGAATAAATAAATCAACACATATGTTTAAAATTAGAATAATTATGTAATGTAGAGCCTTCGTCATAAATCTGTTTTTCCAATTTCCTCGTTTATTTCTATAAAGAAATTTAAAAAAAAAGTAATTCTCTTGTTTCTTTCTCAAATAAACATCCCTTAATTTGATATTCATCCGAAGTTGGCCCTCAACTTTTGAAAAAATTAACTTTCTATAGATCATTCGATTGCTCATCGTTCGAACATGTATGCACATTTTGAATTTTCGTTTGCACTTTCTACGCTATAGAAAGTTAATTTGGTAAATGTTTACCTTTACACAGCCCGCCCCAAATGATTTTTCACCGACCTCGATGTTGACCTTGATCTGTAAGGAGGTCAGGATCATTGATTTTTTCCGTTACTCCATATTATCATTAAAAAATTATGAACATCAAGGTCATTGAGAAGTCATTTGAGGCAGATTGTGTAAAGGTATACATTTACCGTTAATTTTTTCAAAGGTAGGAGATGCCAATTTTACTCAAGTTAATTTGATAACACCTTACTTACATTATAATGTGTATATTATATATAATTATCAAGATAGTTCAAAAAGTTTTTAAATTTCTATCCTTGAGATTAAAATAAATGTGTTATGTTTAAAAATAGATTTATAATTATTAGAAAACATACATGTCAACATTACAGAATAATTGTCTCCTGGAATAATTGATCTTATCTCGTACTTACCAGCTATAGCAGTCATGAAGCTATTGGTATTGCCTTCGATGTACTTAATGACTGCTATAAGTTCAAATATGAATGTACGGTTTTCGTTTTTTGTGTCAGAGATTGCTTTTAAGAATACAGATTGAAGATCTTCTTCGCCTTTGTGAAAAATTGCTCCTAAAAATGTATTAATCAATGAAAAATTAATTAAAAAATTGATATGATATACAATATATGTATATTTGTTGTAAAGAATAAATATAAATTAGTATACTGAATTATTAATCAATCAATTTATCAATGATGATTATTTAAAGTAAAAAGATTTATATATTATCGCAAATTAATTTGCTCATTATATCTGTTAATAATTATTAGAGGAAAGTCGCCGAGACCGACATAGGCCTCCTAAAGTGACACCCCCTTATTTCTCAGGAACTAACTATTGCACTTTATTAATACTAATAAAATCATGATCTATTTAGCTAATTAAAGAAGTACAAACTTATAATTCATATATTTGTGGCTTATTTCTATACCAAATCTGCTAAAAATCAATTCTGTGAATCCGAGAAGAAAATTCTTACGGTGTTCTTTTGCAAATTGCGTAATTAAAATAATAGTGACTGTATTATTGATAATATTATGTTATTTTAAATGTTTATACACTGTTAGAAATTTCTCAATAAATTTTAATTATCATGTAAAGGAAGCATGTGGTTATGCACGAAATTAAATGTAATGAATGATGTAAATAAAAACTAAATTACAGTCGTCTTAAATGTGATGAA